CCGGGTGGGCATCGCATCTTCGCGCCACAATCTAATGTACTTTGTCGGAATACAGTGAGCGCGGAGTTGTCTATGAGATGATGGAGCCAACAATAAAAATAATACTATTGGGCCCGCTACTCCTTTCATTCATCTATTTTCACCTCCGCGCCGCCGCGCGTCGCTCTGTCTTCCTCGCTCGCTCGTTCGGACAGTCGGACCATCCGGATCCTTCCCTCTCTGCACTCGGCGATACGGCCCTCCCACCCCCTCACCCGGCTCGAAGCTCTCAGGGCGGGCGATGCGCGAACCCATTGCTCCATGTTGTGTGTACTGGCGATAAGCTTGGATAGACTTCGAATCCAATGGAGAAAAACCTAAAAGATGTTCCTTTCGAGCAAAGACACGCGCAAAGCCTGAATAATGGCTCAATTTTCCTAAATTTCCTGAAAAAGCAGACCTTATGATTTTTGTTCTACGTTTGCATGGGGGAATTGAAATTTTGAAAGTTTGGATCTCCAAATGAACTTTTGAACTCCAGAGCTTTAAAACTTAGATTGTCGTTAAAACAACATAATTCTTATCCTGTCTGTTTGTGGCGCAATGCCAGCTGTAAATCCTGACACTTTCTCATAAATTTTCCCCTCTATTTTTTCTTATTTTTTGCATTTTTTTATTATTTTCAATAAAGGTCAAGTTTTCATCAGAGCTCATTTTTCTTCGATTCTTTATAATATCATTACATAATTTATTCGTTTTTTTTCACCGATTTACTATCACTTCAATGCTTGTGTTCAAAGTATGTGTCCCTAGAGAAAGTGAAAACGCCGTTTAAGCATGAAAATTGGGCTTGAAGAAGTCATCTTTGACACTGCAATAAAGACACAAGTACCCTCGTTGTATTTTTCACTTTTTTTTAGGTATAACTTGATTTAGTAGCTCATAAAGAATTATAAAAATTTTCAGAAATTGGCCTCTTTATCAAAGTTTAAACGTAATTCAATAGAGTGAACTGCGATTCGTTGCAAAAACTCCTCATCTTAAGTCAAAGTTCACCTTATGATAAACAACTATAGGTGGAAAAACGAACAGTGCAAGATAAATAAAAATTAAAATCCTCGGCAATATTTTGTCAGAATATGACCACGATCCAAGTCGGCGAGGGTGGTGGGGAGGGGGGTAATAGACACGCCGCCGTGGCGCTGCGGCGAAGTCGTTATCCATCGGACACGAAACCGATGGATGCAGCGGCGGACAAGATGATTGTTGAGATCCGAACATCTAGCATGTCTAAAAATCCTAAGTGCTACAACTTGAGGAGATATCTTAATAACAGCTTCTGTTTTTTCCACGGCCGGGGCGGACCCACCGCGTTGATAAGCCCGGCCGGAGCGCGGGTCAGGATTGCATGAGAAATTTTTCACTTTTCCTCGGCCACCGGTCTTTGCGCACCCGGGATCGTTTCGACGATGCACCACCCGTTCTCGGGAGTCTTGAACGGCTCGTAATCAATACCCTTCGGATGGGAGGGCTCGGTGCTTAGAACTCATGATGTTGTGTGCCAAATGATCCTCTTGAGTTGAGGATTTCAGTAATAACACAGCTGACGACTGCAGCAGTTCATGATGTAAAACATGCCTCTTATAGAGTTATTTTTTCATTGCATGCACAAATAGAGGCGTTGAAAAGCTCGCAGTTATCTTCAACTCAAATTCATATATTTTGTAACACGAAAGTGGTTCCCGCGGAAAATGTAGGAAAATCTGTCGAACTTTTTAAATTCAGCGTGAATTCGAAGCGTCAAATGTTGATTAGGAAACGTACATCAACATGCTTAATATCGCACCTTGTCCAGTAGACCATTGAACATCTGTAACAGGTGGTGCGCGCAGTAGGTTTGGAGACTTAAACGCAAGGCAAAGAAAGTAAGCGCAATTTTGTAGGTAATAACAGATAGCTTTCAGACTCGGGTACATTGACCTAGTGGTTTTACGTTGTGGGAGTCCGATGGATTTTTGTTAAATCTTTCGATAAATCAGTCCACCTTCGTATTCGGAGAAATAAGGAAATGGGAATTGGATAGAGAATGTTGTAATGTTATATGTAACATTACAACATTCTCTACCCATTTTCATCAATGCCTTGAATTAATTTAAGAAGCTTTTTGGGCAATCTCCGTGACAATAAAGGCTGCAGCCAAAAGACGAAATACGGAAGAGAATTCACAAAAGTTATGAAAAAATTCAAACTTCGATAAAAATTGCAACGCCGTACCCACTCGCAATTTTGCAAAGTGACAACGCCGGTTTTCCTCCAGTTAAATCCATTAAAAATATCGATTTTTAGTGAGGTAAGCTGCCTCCCCAAGAATCGATTTTTTCATATACCTTCAAATGGAGGAAAATCAATGATCCAACTTTCAAGAATCGTCGCCAGCCGTACCCTGCTAAAATCACTTATTAAAAAAAACCCAAAGTAGAACCAATGAAATGATCTCCTGTATAATGAGGATGAACATGACATGACAGTCCACTCTTTGGGTCTGACCCCGCGAATCGGGGTGCGTGCGTGTGTGTCGGACGCAGCGGAGCGTGTGAGTGTAAGTGAAATGCTACCACAACCGTGAGAGAGGTGACCAACGGGAAATGCCCGGGGGTGAAAAAAACGGAGGCGCATTTGTCACGTCGATGGGAAATCAGGAGGGGCGCGTAAAATGCGGGGATTAGGGGGGCATTTTTTCAGGCAGTGAGGCGACGCGCGGCGGTGGCGGCGGCGAGGGGCAGACACCTGTTGGTACGTTGAAAGTGAAGATTAGTAGGTGACGGGGTGTCCCGGACTCCCGGTCTCAGGTCCCGGTGTCCCGAGTCCCGGTGGGGATGGCGGAAGAGCCGCTCACAAGTGTATGAACCGCGGCGAGCTGCCCTGTTGCCGAAAGGGGCGAGAGTCAATTAACCCTTGCATGACGGGCTTGGGTTTTTTAGACCGGCAGCTTATTGTAATTCGATGAACTCAAGTAGTTGGATCGTGCAAACGGGGGAAGTTTTGAGGAAGGAACATAGGTATATCGATGGAGAAACTCCAAAACCACGTATTTTCATGGCGGCGTTTCAAAATGTCGACTTCTATTTTATTTTTTCGAGGAGAGACAAGCCAACTTTATAGCTTGAAATTCGTGCCGAATATTTCAAAAAAAAATCATGGCGATTTCTTGGGAAGTTATGTAGACCAGTTTTTTGAAGAAAATATAAAGAATGATAGGAAGTCTGCAGCGTCACAGAGCAAATATGTGGTTTCATACTTTATTCATCTGCAATACGTGCTTGTAATAGCTTAGGACTCGTACTTTATGGTAGGTACGTAGGAGCACGATAGGAATTGGGAAAAAGAAGGGGAAGGAGAAGAAGAAGAGAAGGGGGAGGGGGAGGGGGAGGATGAAAAAGAAGAAGTTAAGAATGAGGATAAAGAGGATGAGGAAGAAGAGGAATAAGATGATTGAAGAAAACGATAGTAAAAAGAGGAGAAAGAGGATACAGAAAAGACAGTAGACAAAAAACTCCTCTTATTCTTTTCTTCCTCACCTTATTTTCCTCCCTTTTCCTCTTCATCTACTTATGCTCCTTCTTCCTCTTCAACTTTTTCGAAATTAAATGAGTGGGTTCCGACCAATTTTCGATATTTGCTTGCATGTGTAAAACTTACCATTTCAAAGCTTCAAAAGAGCAAGTCAACACAC